CTAGCAGCCCTACAATGGGCCCTCTTTTCAACAGACGTGGTGATCCAGGCCGCCCTCGTTCCTACCGGGCCTATGGCTCGGATCGTCCCGCGATCTTAAGTTTCAAGATCCCAAGGAAATCCGGACCGTCGGGCCAGTAGGACCACGGGCCGATTGCCCAATTTTCACGTTAGCAATTTCTACAAGTGAAAGGATTGACAGATGCAAGGAACATGAGTATGGACGAAGCACAGAAATCCAGAATGCAAAATCACACCGAAGTCCAAGTCGTCCCAGCCAAAGCAGATAGTACAATGGAACCGAGTAACCATCCAATTGAGAACAATACAGAAGAATCGTGAGTCAATGTCCATGCCCAACAGGGCAACACCAACAGCATAACCCAAATGTAGCTCTCTCTTGTGAATGGCTCCAGGTGCCCTATCTACTCTACAGCCTATCCTACAACTACAGCAATGAAAGCAACCAGACAACTTGACTACCAGCGAGTGATGATGTCAACACCAATGTCGACCTCCACCTCCACCAGGTACGTGTCCTCTTCCCCACACTCTCCCTTGTTACCCACACAGCGCCCTTCACCTCCGAAGACCACCTTCGCCCTTCACCTCTCCTGCACCCTCATGCGGCCCGGCTATGGCCGCCAGTGCCTTGCATGSAGGCARCGCCCTACCGCCTAGCGCTGGCCTGCTTCACCTTAGCGCAGCACTGCTCTGCACAGCACAKCACACATGCATCCGCGCAGCATGCCYGCAATGCCAGCATTGGTCAAGCTCCTTGCCCACTCGCCCTGCTTGCCTATATGCCAGTGCAGCGTGTGGGCTGCCTTCCTTCAGCCTGTGACCGGGACCCAGAGGCTTCAGCCTACCCGATACAGTTGGGCCCCGGGGCAATGCAGTTGCGCCTCTTTCATCAAGGCCTGCGGCCAAATTCAGATAGTGGGCCGATTTTCCTTTGGCATTTTCGGCCTTTCTACCCAGCATGCATTGTCCGCCTCACGTTCGAGTGCCCAGGGCCTGACTAACTAAGAGGCCCTGGGCATTTCAACATTTGCTGAAATCCGAGACTCGGTGCACTCCAACCAACTAGCGTGCTGCAACTGTATAGACCCCACTTCGTGAAATGTTGGCACATAGGGCTCTTGTTGATTTGCTGGCCCGCCTTCACTTAGGGCGAGCACTAGGCTTGCTGGGGCCTTAGCCCAAAACATGTACATCATGGCAAGGCCCCTTCTTGAGGGCTCAATCCTCACATTCCATCCCCCTTAGCTTTGAAAGTCCATTGGGATGCTTACGTCGCAGGTGCCTTCCCTTTTAGCTTCCGTTCATAATCTGCCACCACCTGGGGAGTTGTTTCCATCAGTTCCTCCCGGGTAAACCACCGATCTTCTTTCGTCGAATCTGATCCGGTACTCTCTCTTGGGTTTAGGAGGTCTTCCTCGACCCAACGGCTTTGCAACAGGCATGTCCCTGTGATCCACAATGTCGTCGATGTCAAACTTGTCCATTCATGGTTGGGGGCAGCATTGATCTCCTGGAAGGGAATTAATCAGTCTCAGCGAAAGGTGCAAGCTTTGAGGCATGAAAGACTGGGTGAGTGTGTAGGTGCCCAGGGACACGAATGACATATGTGGGACCATCCCACTCATCTCCCACTACATCCAAGACTTCCCAAGGACCAAAGTACTGAGGCATTAGTTTGCGAGATATTCCGAACTCCTGTCCTAACTCACTAGCCTTGACCTAGACACGTTCCCCTACCTGAAATGTGGACTATCTGCGATGTTGATTCTCAGAAGCAATCATGGCTTGCTGAGCCTTCTTCATATGTTTGACAGCCTCTTGCAGCAATTTCTCATATTGCACACCGTATTCAAGTGTGCCTGGAGTTGCAGCGGGTCGATTTTCAGGTAGGAGGAAGTCTAGTGCTGATCTAGGCTTCCATCCTAAGTGCAACTGGTTAGGACTAACGCCGGTACTGCTATGTATAGCATTGTTGTACAGGCTGGCGATGAGAGGTAACTGCTCATCCCAATCATCCTGGTTGGGCTTGATGTAATGCCTCAGCAAGTGTTGTACAACTCTATTCATTTGTTCGGCCGTTCCGTTGGCTTCAGGATGATTCCCTGAAGTCATCTGAAGTTGACTGCCCATCTGTTCCGCAGTCTTCTTCCACAGCTCACTCGTAAATCGAACGTCTTGGTCACTAATGATGGTCTTCGGTAAACCAAAGTCCCTTACCCAGTTGTCCTTGAACAACTTGATAACGTATTTTGTCCTGGCTGTCTCTGGCATTGGTATTAGTCTAGCATACTTTGTGAATCTGTCAATGATGACGAAAATATGCCTCTTACCACTCTTGCTGGTTACTAGGGTGTCCATGAAATCCATGGAAACACTGTCCTGGACCAGCGGGAATAGGTAAGGGCTTAAGCAACCCAAGCGGTGCTTGAGTTCGCGGCTTGTCCCGCTGACAGGCCTGACAGGTCTCTACGTACTTCTTTGCGTCATCAAACATACCAGGCCACCAAAGTCGTTGTACTAAATTAGCACTCATTTTCTTGTAGCCAAAGTGACCCGTTGCGTCATGGCATTCTCCTAGAAATAAACTACGCAACTGTTCACAAGATGGAACTACCAATCTCTTTATTCCGGCCTTATCAAGATAGAGTAGCCCGTCCACCATCACAAACTCACTTTCTGTGGCCTTGTCTTTTGCCTGAAGTTTGCGGATGATGTCCATCGTGACAGTGTCTTCCTGATAGGCTCCCACCAATGATTGAGTTACTTCACTAGATATGCCAAATTCAGAAACTAGCGCACCTAGGTAGTCTGCTCTACTGGATAGCGCATCTGCAACCTTGTTGTACCCTCCCTTCAGATACTCAAGCTTGAAGTCATATTGGTCTATGACCTCAATCCATCGCTTGAGTGCATCAGAAAGAGCCGGTTGAGTCTTGATCCATTTGAGGGTCTGATGATCAGTCCTCAGATAGAAGAACCTTCCCAAAAGGAAGTGTCTCCAATGGACAAGTGCCTTATAGAGAGCATAGAGTTCCCTTTCGTAGGTGGACTTGGCCAACTTCTTCAATGGCATCTTCTTACTCATGTACTCAATCGGTCTCAACTTTTTCCCATCCTGCTGAGCCAGCACTGCGCCAATGTCGTATTGGCTTGCGTCAGTGGTTATTATGAATGGCTTCTGTGGATCGGGAACCATGAGAACTTCATGATTCATGAGTGCATGCTTCAATCTTTTGAAAGCACTCTTGCACTCATCACTCCAGTCCCATGGCGTGTCAAGTCGAGTTAGATCAGTCAAAGGAGAGGCGACTGTAGAATAGTTCTTTACGAAGTTCCTATAATAACCGCACATTCCTAAGAATGACCTCACCTCAGTGATTGTATGAGGTCGTGGCCAGTCTCGAATACTAGCCACCTTCGCATCTTCCGGCCTAATTCCCTCCGCGGATACTTCATGACCCAAGTATAGTATCTTAGTGCGACCGAATTCACACTTATACTTGTGCTGTCGAAGGAGTGAAAGTACCGTCTCAACATGCTGTGCACGCTCCTCGACAGACTTACTAAAGATCAGAATGTCGTCTAGGTAGACCACGACAAACTTATCTAAATGGTCATGGAAAATCCGATTCATAGCGTGCTGGAATGTACCCGACGCATTGCAAAGACCAAAGCGCATCACTACAAACTCATACAGACTGTATCTAGTCTGAAAAGTTGTCTTGTGTTGGTCCTCATGTCTTATTGCGATCTGATGATATCCGGATTTCAAGTCTATCTTGCTATAGTACTTGCTTCCCTGCACCCTATCCAATAGGTCGTCTATGCGAGGTAGAGGCTCTGCGTTCTTCGCTGTGATGGCATTGAGGCCTCTATAGTCAATGCACATCCTCAAAGTACCCCCCTTCTTCGGTACGAATAGAACGGGTGATCCGTAAGGGGAAGTACTAGGCCGAATCCATCCCTTCTCTGTCAGCTCCTTTAGTTGCTTCCGAAGTTCATCTAACTCGGCAGGGACCATCCTATAGATCCTTCCCTCTGGGGTCTTACTCCCTGGAATGATTTTTATAGCGTGGACGACTTCCCTATCAACAACTCCTGAGGGCTCTTCGAACAGATCACGGAACTTAGCAACGACGCGTTCTATCTTTGGGGGTGTTTTAACGGCCTCCCCCTTCTCAGAGACATAAACAAGGTACATACCCTCCTCTTGGTTTTGCTTGTAGTAGTTGTAGAACGCGGATGCGCACAAGCAGCCATAGGTGTCTATAATACTACTGGCCTTAAACTTGGTCAATCTGACAGCTCGGCTATCGGACAACTTGTGTTTGAGCACCTTCTTATCCCTGTCGAACTGGGGCTTAGCAACTTCGAGGTAGTACATGCCTAACAACATATCGAATGGTAAGTCGTCGCTAACCAAGAACGAGATCTTATGGTTAAGCTCACCCCCTCCATAGGAGAAGGTACAAACTACGTCCTTTATGTACTCTGTCACTATCATGTGCTCCTTGTTGGCCAAAGTAGATGCTACTGGTCTACTAAGGTGCCGTACCCGGTCCTGTAGGTGCAGGCTTTCCAAACAGTCGCGACTTATATAATTCCGTGTGGATTCAATGTCTATGAAGGCACCACATTTGCGGCCTCCTACATCCACTTCCACTACGAAATGTTCCCCTCTAGGACCCTTCTTTAGCGCCACCCAAGACTCGGGAGGGTCCTTGTTTGACCACTCGCCTTCTAAGTCTTCTAAGGCGTCAGACACATCTAACGTACAGAGCATAGTTTGGTCCAGATGCGTCTGCGGGGTGACTAAGGAGTCATTAGCTTCGGCCTTGTCATGAAGTGACGAGGGTATCATGCCCACTTCATCTTGAGTAGAAACCGTTACTACTTCCACTGGCCCTACGCGTTTCCCGAGCTAGAAGCCTGGGAGTAGGTTGGCCCCATCTTTGGAGCTACCTTATGCGTAACCTTAGCGTTCTGGCACTTGTACTGCGAGTGTCCGTACTCCCCGCAGTTGATACAAGCACCATGCGTTCGGCGGTCACGCCACACGTCTTAATCAAGACCTGCCTTTACCCACTCAGCTTGTTTGGTCTGATTGAAGGCGGCCTTCCCTTGACTCCTAGGTTGGCCCTTTCCTCGGCCACCTGCCTTAGTCTTCACTACCACGGCGAGGGTGCTACCCTCAGCTACCTCCTCGCCGTCAAACTCTATATAGTCCATCAGGTCGGTGAGCTCGTCAATCTCAGTTTGAGTCCCATCAAACTCCACCATCATCAACTTAGCCCCCTTCTTCTTCCACTCCTGAGGACTCTTCTTCTTTGAGTCATTACCTGAGGTGGGTTGAGCATTGCCTAGCGGGGCCTCTAAATCTAAAGCCTTCCTAGACAATGTCTCAAATGAGTGGTACTCTGTGCGTGCCTCACTAGCCAGCAAGTTCCTGATGTTCTCTGGAAGACATCTAACAAAAGTTGTTAACAGGAACTGGTCACTGTAGGTTGATGCCCGGGATGAGGATCAGGCCCTCAACGGTAGTCGTAAGCTCTCTAACTGACCGCAACTTGCGTTGGTCTAGTTTATTTATGGCATCAATGGCCTTTTGCGCCTCCTGTGGGTTATGCCATCGAGCTTCTACCATTTCCATGAACTGGTCTGAAGTCAAAGGTTTGGCCCAGTCTGCCATGCATCGCCCGTACCCGGCTTTCACAACTACCCCATCTAGCCGTTTGGCTGCCTTACCCTCTAGGTAAGATGCCGCAGTTACCACTTCATCCTCTGGCAAGGTCCTCTTGGCCTTCACCCAAACCGGGACCGTCCTCAACCATGTGTTGAGTTCCTCGTCYTTTCTCTCRCCTGAGAAGGCAAGAGGCGGTTTCATTGGGGTCTTGGGATACCATTGACCTTGCTGCTGTCCAGATTGCTGAACAGGTTGTTGCGGTGATGTAGCAATCACCGCTGGACCCGAAGAAGACACAAAAGTCTGGGAGACTGCTGCAGACGTACCACTTGGATGTGAACCAGCTTGAACTGGAAAAGGGCCTGACATCGCCGTTAACGACAACGACGATTGGGCTGGTGGCCTAAATCCTGGGCTTGTTAGGATGTCCAGGATCTGGTCCAAAGTGCTCTGCATGAAGTCCAACCTGCTGTCCACTTGCGCATGCAGCGACAACATGTTGTTCCTCAACACTTTCATGGGCTCATTCATTCCCGAGTCATCTAAACCCTCCAAGTCAGCCTTGTCAGACTCTAACGTTTCAAGCCTGGCTGCTCTATTCTTTATCTCTTTTTCTCTATCGGTAGCTTCTTTCAGATCCTTCTCTAATTGTGCACGGATCCTTTCGACCTGCTCGAGCTCCCTCATCTCCCTTTCGCGAGGAGTCAACGGGCTGAACTGTGAGCCCGCCATTTGACTTGTAGACTGTCTAGAACCTGATGAACTGGAAGTGCCCGCGGACCCTGTTGGCATTCCAAACTGGGGTCCAGACGAGAAAGCAACAGAAGTTGCAGCGGAGGATGCTGCTGAAGAAGTCATGGCTGCTGCAGCCTGTTCCCTAGCTGCAACATTTGCTGCTGCTCTTGATGCTGCAAGAGCACGGGCTCTGCGTTCGGCACGAAGCCGTCTTTCTTCTCCCTCGTCTAGGGTCCTGAACACGTACGGGATCCTACTTGATCTTGCACATGTTAGTCTACCATTGTCAACTCCCTCCTACGTACAGAATCCCCTAGTGGAATCCTACCGCAGCATATGTTTGACCGGCACCTAATTTTCTAGAAATGTTGTCCGACAAGTCCCCTACTGTACCGATCAAGTGGCATGTCTACAACATTCACACAGATTGTCTACATACTCTAAATGCACATTGACTTGTCCACTTACAGCAGCACAAGATAGAACTGACTATGGTAGTATACTTCAGTCCTACTCTAGTCTGTCTGTGAAGTGTTAGAAGTCTGTCCACCAACTAATCAAAAGTACAAAAAGACCATGTAGCAGATGTATGATTGATGGGTATTGTTGTGTATTCAGTTGAGCACCAATTGGAATCTACCCTTCCCCTCAATCCAACCATCCGGACAGCATCTTAAGCAAAGGAGTGTGTTCGTGTGTGTATCGGCCCACCCCTGTGCCCAAGTCAGAGCCAAGTAAGCCAGCCAGCCCACTCTTATTCACCCTAAAATGAGCCTTACACCCGGATGATCTGGCTGATCAGGACGATTATTAAGAGCGCCCCCATCTCTTCAGGAATTCTTTAACGTCGCAGTCAGGACGACGATCACAGCCACAATCATATCAAGTACCTAACCAGAAATGTTTATAGACGGTCTGGTAAGCGTCTCATACAAGGCTGGCACACTTGGCAAGACTTCTATCTGAGCGCAGCAAGTGCCAAAACAGGACAGCAGCCATCGCATGCGTGCACTACTCCCTGTGGGTTGGCA